TTCCAACCCCACATCATTCTGTGATTCCAGAGACAGCCGTGGATGCTCAGTTCAAAAGTTGACTCTGTCAGTAGATGTTGACCAAGCCATGGGGCACACGTCATGGTAATGACTAGCTCTGGGGCTCCTTACGGTAATTAGATGATTATGGTGCCTTAACTCTAGTCCTTTGATGCAAATTATGACGTGGGTGAGAGGAAAAAAAGGTGAAGCAAATTTGTGTCAAATTCCTAAGGGCATATTTTTTCAAATGGTTGAAAATGGTAAAGATCTACATAAAATATTTAATGGCCAGTTTGCTTTAATTAGGGTGTAATGCAACCACGAGGTCTATAGAGGAAGCTCTGTGCAGACTTGTATCCCTTCCCCATCCCATCACGGGCTTGGTACATCCATCCTGTGAAGCAACACTTGGACTTGGCCAGAAGAGAGACACCACCACCACGCAGCCCGCACAAGCAGACACAAGGAATCACCTAAACCAGCTTTCTTTTCTCAAAATGCAGAGCTGATGGGACATCCAGCTGGGCAAAGGTAAGGTCTCCAGAGAGGACAAATGCAACTGTCACCACACCAGACAAACCATGACTACAATACTCTTCACTTATAACATAGTCTATCTTTCACTGCATTTACATTTGATCAACATTTCCTAATTGAGGAAGTGAATACAAGAGTGTAGCCAAAGATACTGTGTGCAATTAATTTAATGGCATTATAGAACTGCAAATCCACTCCTTTAGAACACAATTAATCAGTATTTGTCTTGAACCAAGGAGAAACCCAGCGGGTCCCATAAAACAAAATCTTCCACAGGAGCAAGTTGCAAAGTAGAACATGTTACATCTGTGAGATTGTTGCCATTAAAGGTCTGTTTCAGTAAATGGAAAAAAAAAAAAGATCAGAAGCTAGTGGTATGGTCATAAAATAAGAAGTATTCCTTTAAAACAATTCTAGCAAACATTCCCTGAGAATTAAGAATCAGCAACAACTATTTTTCTGTGACAGTGCAGAAATGTTACAGCACATTTCTCTCCATCCAAAGATCACGCAGGAAGATTAAAGGCCACAGTTTTTTATTTACTATGTCCATCTTCTGGACGTGCTCATTTCTCAAGAGAACCCTCTTGCAGCAACCCTCAGCACTAAGGCCATCCAGGACAGGAGGGGAGAGAAGGCAGCTAAGAAAAGGTTTAATCCATGTGTTGAGCGTGTTTGCGTGTTCAGAATTCCCTTTTTTTTATCTTCTGGACGTGCTCATTTCTCAAGAGAACCCTCTTGCAGCAACCCTCAGCACTAAGGCCATCCAGGACAGGAGGGGAGAGAAGGCAGCTAAGAAAAGGTTTAATCCATGTGTTGAGCGTGTTTGCGTGTTCAGAATTCCCTTTTTTTTCCCCCACGTGCTAGGGTTTTCCAAATTTTCTCTTCCAGCTCATAGGCTATGGCAGCAGTCTGGAATATCCCCCTTCTTTCCCCCAGGAATGCCCATATAAAATACATACCCACCACCCAAATGTTCCATTCACTCAGACAAGTGACTTGTGGTCTAAGAAGAAAAGGGAGATTAACAGTTACTCCACTCTGCTGCTTTAAGTCAAAACAATCAATTTTAATGCCTAAAATGAGGTTTTATGGCCCGTGGTGTCGCTGAAAGCTGTGTGCAGCTCAGCTTTATCGTGGCATCGTTCCTCAGCACATGGAATTAAAGTGCAGTAAACATTTGGAATTTGGTGCAACATATTGTCAGAAAAAGAAAATATACTTCTTGTTAATAATTCAGCTCAAGAAGGTGCCATTCTGGGGCCAGTTGGCATGGGCCCAAAAAAATGTAAGATCCTATCAGGATCTAAAGTTTTGTGTTGTAGAAGAGGGTTTCTTTCTGTCTTGCTCTAATATCCACCCAATATCTGCATATCTCCCTGTGGCTACGTGCTAGATCCCCAGCTCTTTCTCCAAGGTAGCACAATCACGAGGGGGATTGGTTTTAAAGTGAAAAAGGAGAGATTTAAATGAGATCTGAGGAAGAAATTCTTTGCTGTGAGGGTGGTGAGGCACTGGAAGAGGTTGCCCAGAGAAGCTGTGGCTGCCCCATCCCTGGAGGGGTTCAAGGCCAGGCTGGATGGGGCTTGGAGCAACCTGGTCTGGTGGGAGGTGTCCCTGCCCAGGGCAGGGGGTTGGAACTGGATGATCTTTAAGGTCCCTTCCAACTCCAACCATCCAGTGAGAGCTGCAGGACTCTCCCAGTTAAATCCTGAAAGAGTATTCAAAGGAGACCGGAGAAGAATAAAAACTTAACATCTCTACCTGCCCCAGCAAAACTCAGGTGAAAATACCAGCACGTGGGCTGAGGAGTCAAAATGGGAAGGCAAAGTACTTCAACATACCTGTAACACCTTGGAAATATTCTTATAGTATAAAAGCTTGGCCACACTGGATCTCTATACTGATGCCATGCAGTTTATCTGCACATATGATGGTCTGGACATCAGCTCTCACTTAGGCCAGGTTGTCAGAAGTCCAGGAACACTGAATACACGACCATATTCCTCTTCTATCTCTTGGAAAAACTTTCCAAGTGAAAACAGAAGACAAGCCTAATAAAAGAGATGGTTGTGCTATCTCTGAATCTTGAGGATTGTGATCCAATTAGTGTTGCATATATTTCATTTTTTCCTAAGTGTTTTCTCTATCATCAGAGTATCTTTCTGCATGACTTCAACTGCTTTACTCCAGGAGATCCAAGAGAAAAAAATGTATGAAAATAATCTTTGCCGTCTTTGTGAAGCGGCAATCAAAAAGGTCAAACAAATCAGCTGGCTATAAATGATGACATTTACTGTCCATCAAGAGTATTCATCATATTGCACAAGAAAATAATGCAATGTTCAGTCACAGTAAAACATATAAATATAAATGCATCTGAGCGATACAAACCTTAGGTTGATGTTACAGTATTTTACAGTGAAAAGCTGCTTTTTTACTTTGTAGAGTAGGGTAGATGGTTGGACTCGATGATCCCAAGGGTCTCTTCCAACCTGAATGATTCTATGATTCTATGATGTTATCTCAGATTACACTGCCAGTCACTTTTATTCTTTATAAGGATCAAAAGGATTCAGACCTCTCACCATTAACCAGAGAGATCACTAAATTGTGGTGGTGATTCTGCTTTGAAGCCACCAGTTCATATCTGCTACCGTCACTCTTTGGCCGTTGAGTAGCTGTTGAACACTTTGCTGGCTCAAGTATTACCTGTACCATAAACCCAGCCCTAAAATCTCCACGTGCTGAAGTGCACAACACTCCATTCAACTGGAAAAGAGACACTGAGATTAGTGACACAGTTGACACTTTGACCCAAGTCTGCTTGTGGGGGAAGAGAGAACGGGTCCCGGCGTCTCAGATCTCCTTCGCTTTCTCTCTAGACAGGAACTGCCAGGCATGACGGAGTATAGATCTTCACGAGCTCGTCCCAAGCACAGTCCACCACCTACAAAGCAAAGAGAATCTCTTTAGATCCTTCAAAAGTGTCATTTTCACAGAAACCGGAAGGAATTTAGAAGAAATTAATGCATAGTGTGGAATTAACGTTGCCGATTTGCAATGCTTCAAAATTATATAATAATGCAAAAGCAAAGAGAATCTCTTTAGATCCTTCAAAAGCATCATTTTCACAGAAACCAGAAGGAATTCAGAAGAAATTAATGCATAGTGTGGAATTAACGTTGCCGATTTGCAATGCTTCAAAATTATATAATAATGCAGTTGGTTTGGTTTTGTTTGGGTTTTTTAATTTTTTGGGTTTTTAAACATTGTCTTAACTTTACAGTTGGTTTGGTTTTGTTTGGGTTTTTTAAATTCTTTTTTTTATACGTTGTCTTAACTTTCCTGAGGTACATGAAAATTAACCATTTCCTATTTTTCCTACTCCCCAGGAGGAAAGCGGCGAAACCTTTGGGTTTCAATTGATTGTTTCAAATAGGCTAAAGAGAGAAAGTAACTGAGAATGAGGGGAAGGAAGGACAGACAAAAGTCTGGACCTTTTTATATCTAAACACTTCCTGATCAAAATCTGACCAACTTTCTTATACTTGCAAGTAGGGAAAATTATTACAGACGTTTTCCTAACGGAGACCTGAGGAATGGAAAAATAAAGAAGTTGACAAAAATGATGCAGGAAGTTTCTTGAATTAAGCCAGAACCTCAGCCTCACAGGGGTAAGCCATGGGCTTGTCTGTTGAGAAGAGAGATGTCTCCTTGCTGAGCACTGAGGATCAGGGGGGGTGTTGCTTCAAGCACCACCCAGACCCCCCTGGTCTGATAAGAAGTGATGCCATTTGTGCCAATGGCACCTTATAAACACGGCGACCGATTCCAGTGTAACTGCAACTCTTCTGAATTGCAAGTCACAAGCCGTGCCAATGGCACCTTATAAACACGGCGACCAACTCCAGTATAACTGAAATTCTTCTGAATTGCAAGTCACAAGCTCTATTCTAGAGGCAGGTTTGAAGCTAAAAATCACAAAAATAGGAGGTTAATCTCATTCCATAGCATTAAAAGATTTGAATAAATAAGATTCCATACAAGATGGAATCTTTAAATGTCCAAACCATGTTCAAATGCTTTAAATGTTTCCAAATGATTTGATAATGCACTTTAGAGTCTGTAACAAAGCGAAAGGGTTAACCCCGCTGACAATTACTCAACTAGATGACCTATAATATATATTCACAAAATATGGTGGGGCCAAGAACTAAGGCAAATGGAAGAAGAAAAGAGGAGAGCTAAAGAGAAAAAGCTGATGAGCCCAATCAATGTGTGCCAGTAAATCTGGCTGAGTCCATCTCCCATTATCTCCACAATGTCCTTTCCAGTTGGGATCACAAAGGATACAGTATTGGATCCTCTGCACAACCAGCTTCCTTCTGCTGCAGAGTGCAATTCCTGTTCTCTTCTAGAGCCAGAACAAACAGCTGCACACTAAAAATTTGGAAATCCAACTTCAATATTTGATTTCAGACAATAATTAGCCCATTTTGTGTTTACTATACTGGACTATTATTCATTTTTATTGCTTCCTTAGCTGGTTCTACTTAGTTATTTGAAGTGCTTTCCATATACATCTAAATGGATCAAAAAAAAAAAAAAAATCTCTTGACAAAGTGTCTGTCTATTCATACAACATAAAAGAGCTTTGTGTAATAAATGTTCTGCTGCATTGCAGTCCCCCAAATCAGACCAAAAAGAAAAATTTGAGTTTTCCACTAAACGCTATGTAGAAACTGGCAATCATATAAAACACTTTTTTTTTTTTTTTCTTTTTTTTTCTGATGAGCCCAATCAATGTGTGCCAGTAAATCTGGCTGAGTCCATCTCCCATTATCTCCACAATGTCCTTTCCAGTTGGGATCACAAAGGATACAGTATTGGATCCTCTGCACAACCAGCTTCCTTCTGCTGCAGAGTGCAATTCCTGTTCTCTTCTAGAGCCAGAACAAACAGCTGCACACTAAAAATTTGGAAATCCAACTTCAATATTTGATTTCAGACAATAATTAGCCCATTTTGTGTTTACTATACTGGACTATTATTCATTTTTATTGCTTCCTTAGCTGGTTCTACTTAGTTATTTGAAGTGCTTTCCATATACATCTAAATGGATCCAAAAAAAAAAAAAATCTCTTGACAAAGTGTCTGTCTATTCATACAACATAAAAGAGCTTTGTGTAATAAATGTTCTGCTGCATTGCAGTCCCCCAAATCAGACCAAAAAGAAAAATTTGAGTTTTCCACTAAACGCTATGTAGAAACTGGCAATCATATAAAACACTTTTTTTTTTTTTTTAGTGTTCTCCACAGCTCTGGATCAGTATCTGTTTTTCTATAGGCAACACTTTCCACTTTCATAAAGCAACGAGAAACAGAGATAGCATCTGGAAAAAATCCCGTGGGAATTCCCACCTGTTATCAATATAATTAACATCCCTGAAGTAGCCTCTGAACAAATATAGTTACAGAACCGTTTAATCTGGCAACACTAAAAATAAGCAGGGGATATGAAAAGGGACTTTGAAAAGGATCACTTGCGGTAATTTGCCCAACTCATTGACTTAATGATAACACATGAAAGATGAAAACGTAACCAGCAAACAAAAGGGAAATAAAAGCTCCAGCAAATAATGGTGGATGGAGTTCTCCCGTGCAGCGGGAAATTGATAATGGAATACTGATGTCAGAAACCTTGATAAAAATACACATGTAAAGAACAGCAAACAGGTAGGTATGGGAAATGGGCACACTAGGGCACGGAGCAGTAGTAGGGAATCAGGGAATCATAGAATGGTTTAGGTTGGAAGAGACCCTTGGGATCATCGAGTCCAACCCTCTACCCTACTCTACAAAGTCCTCCCCTACACCATGTCCCTTTCTCTCTTGTATTGAGGTGCCCAAAACTGGACACAATACTCGAGGTGTGGCCTCACCAGTGCTGAGTACAGGGGCACAATCACCTCCCTGCTTCTGCTGGTCACACTATTTTTGATACAAGCCAGAATGCCATTGGCTTTCTTGCCCCCCTGGGCACACGGCCGGCTCATATTCAGCCATTTGTCAACTAGAACCCCCAGGTCTCTTTCTTCCAGGCAGCTCCAGCCACACTTCCCCGAGCCTGTAGCGCTGTATGGGGTTATTGTGGCCCAAGTGCAGGACCTTGCACTTGCCCTTGTTGAAACTCATTCTATTGGCATTGGCCCAGTGATCCAATCTATCTAGATCCTCTTGCAAAGCTTCCCTATCCTCCTGGGAGGAGTCAACACTCCTGCTTAACTTGGTGTCATATGCAACAGCATTTCCATTTCTCCATAATACTGCCACCAAAACACAGCCAAGATGGTAAGAGCAAGGGGACAACTGGAAGCCACCAGCAGGGCAGGTGGTGTTCATTGATGGAGGGCTGCTACGTGTCCCTTCGCAGGATCCCCAGCAAAGGGGAACCCAGCATATTCAATAAAAGCTTCAAAAGTGTTTAGAGACATCAGTTCTCATGTAAAACGTGAACATTTTAAAAAATACTTTAAATCACTTTATCCATTTTATTTTTAAAAAAGGACTGCTTAATTTAAATTTTAATAGCAGCAAGAATTCCACTGGGATGAGGCCGATCCAGCACAGTAAATAAATATGGCATAAAAAAAAAAGCCCCACAATTTCCTAAAGTTTCTATTTCCATCAATGAGATGATGTTACAAACAGGTGGAGAAAACCCTCCTGTGATGGGACAGAGGAAAACTGAAAATGGACCCACGCGTTATTTGCATACCTGATGAAAGCCCTCACCATCAGGAACACAACGGCACGGAGGTTGGTCTGTCCATGAAAATGTCTTCACTGTCTTGGGGACAAGTTTTACTCTCAGATTGAAACAAATCTCACTGATTTCAGTATTTAGAGGGTATTTATTTATCTATCTGTCTATCTATCTATTTTTAAAGCAGAGTAGATGACAGTTTATTTTAGTTGAATTCCACTGGGATGAGGCCGATCCAGCACAGTAAATAAATATGGCATAAAAAAAAAAGCCCCACAATTTCCTAAAGTTTCTATTTCCATCAATGAGATGATGTTACAAACAGGTGGAGAAAACCCTCCTGTGACAGAGGAAAACTGAAAATGGACCCATGTGTTATTTGCATACCTGATGAAAGTCCTCTCCATCAGGAACACAAGGGCACGGAGGTTTGTCTGTCCATGAAAATGTCTTCACTGTCTTGGGGACAAGTTTTACTCTCAGATTGAAACAAATCTCACTGATTTCAGTATTTAGAGGGTATTTATTTATCTATTTATTTATCTATCTATCTTTAAAGCAGAATAGAAGACAGTTTATTTTAGTAATTAAGAACTGTATAAATTACAGTATCCTTATACTATTGGATATTTTGGACCCCCATACGCCACACAATTTTCGTTATCAGGTGTGACTACTAAATTGCTCTTCTAACTAGAGAATAAAATTCTACCGTAGCAACTTTTAACTACCAAAAAATTGCAGGGAAAAGGAGAATAACTAGAGCTGAATTTAAACCAGGAATATTCTACCTTACGCTGATTGGTAAGGTACACCAAGAAATAATTCAAATAGAAAAAGCATTCTAAACCTGGTAATTGTAACTGAACTCTATGGGACTTGAAACAAATCTCACTGATTTCAGTATTTAGAGGGTATTTATTTATCTATCTGTCTATCTATCTATTTTTAAAGCAGAGTAGATGACAGTTTATTTTAGTTATTAAGAACTGTATAAATTACAGTATCCTTATACTATTGGATAATTTGGACCCCCATACACCACACAATTTTCGTTATCAGGTGTGACTACTAAATTGCTCTTCTAACTAGAGAATAAAATTCTATATGGGATAAAAAAAAAAAGCCCCACAATTTCCTAAAGTTTCTATTTCCATCAATGAGATGATGTTACAAACAGG